GTATATCAAGAATAAATCTGCAATACTGAGAGTAAATTTGAAATTTCAAGAGTCAAACGTGTAACAATATATATCAAACTACCTCAGCTGGTAACATGCAAATTAATTAAGTTACTTCAACTTAAAATGAAATGAACACAGTCGCTAACTAAAACAATGTGTGGTGCCAATATTAGGATGTTTTTTGAGTTTGCTTCTTTTGAGAATTCACTTAAAGCTCATAAACACAGTGTGGCGTCAGCATTAGGTCACTGAGCTCGAGCTTTGAAAGATGGAACATATCTGTCACTCCCTCCTCTGACTGGATTTGATGAACCAGAGGAGTCAACATTTCACCTTGATTCAGGAAAAGAAAATCTTCCTCCTCTCATGTCTGGCCCTGGTGCTCCTCTATATTTTACAGACCCAACAGAGGTGTGCAGTTTGTTGATTTAGTGGAAGTCTTGGCCTTAAAGGAGAAGCGGAGGTGATACAAACTGTATATTTCTGATGCCGAATGTTTTGAGTTGGTGTGAAAAAGGCCCCGGGGAAGATGTTGACCTGTGCCGCTCGCACACACTCTCTTCATTATCAGCAAAAAAAATAACCGAGTGAGGTCGAGGTGCTTGTTGATCTTTCCCCAGGTGATGGCAGGATGGTCTGTGGGACGTAAGCTTTTTACATCCCACGTCGCTCCAGCTCCTCTGGCAGACAGAACGGCTCGGCACCAAAAAACTGTCATGGGGATGAGTCAGCCCAGAGCGACTTCGTCTCTTTGTATCTGTGCAAACCAAGGCCTGATGATTCATGGGCAGAATCATGACAGTTTCTTTTAAAGAGCAAGATGGATGGTCGACAGAAACCTGGTAAAGTCTGGGTTTATTTCGGGATTAGACATTGTTCAGGTTACAATTACATGTACACGTGTACAACTTCTCATTTAAATGCAACATCGAAAGAAGAGTTGTAGAATCAGGATTATGTAAGTGTGGGGCAATAAAAGCAATAACCTCTGCCACAGCTGACAACCTAATATATTTTGTCCTCTTTGAAATACACTTAGAGCGGCCATTACTCTGAATATGGTGATGCAGGGACGTCGTCTGCCAGTGTAAATCCAATTCAGAGGCCAGGTAATAAAATAACCACGTCAGATTACATGTGACGGCCGGCACGTATGCAGCTCCCAAAACCTCAGGGCTCAGGAGGCCTCTGGAACACACACAYACACACACACACACACACACACACACACACACACACATACATGCACGTGCACACAGAGCCAGAGAAACAACTGCCCTATTTTCATACTTATCTGCTATTATTAAGTCATGTTCCATCTATTCGCTGTAGAGATTGCACACAGCCCTGCAAAACACACACACACACACACACACACACACACACACACACAGACACACACCGGAATACCCCATCTCACATCTGCACAACTAATGGTCCACGGCTGATTGGTTATTTACTTGTTTTCTTTCCTTTGATTTATGACAACAACAAACAGCACGATAACAATTGTTCGACATGCATTAAACAAATTCAATCACACGTCAGAGGGGAGCCGAGACCACAATTAAACATTACAAATGAACAGTCACATGTGGCAAAACATCGTCTGTCAGTAACAAAGACAAATCGTGCATTAATGCGTGCAGCGGCCTGATGATAATTGTGAAGTGAAACCGTGCAGGTACTGTCGCCAAACAAGAAAAACAAGTAGCCGCGCACAAGCTAGAGGTAAATACTCTTGCATTAAGTGCATAACACTGAGACAGGAGAATATAAATTATATTTTTTGCTCGGAATCTAACATATTAGTATTTGCTTGACATTAAAACTACATGTGACATGGTTGACACGGTCCCTGTGAACAAAGTGCTGCAGATGTTGTACTGAGGTGCTGCAGCTCTCAGCCCTGAATTCCCACTTTTCACTGCACGTGTTCAACGAGTTTCCTCTTCGGCTCGAGCAGCTCAGTGCGCCTCAGACGCCGGTCAGGCTTTCGTTCAGGGTGGAGATGTGGCTGGTCACGCACAGTTGTCTCTGGCCGTGGTGGGCTTGTCTGGGCCGCTGGTGCAGCAGGAAGAGGCGCTTGGCCGCCGCCCTGTACTTCCGGGACATGAGGTTGTAGACGACAGGGTTGATGGAGGCGCTGAGGTAGCACAGCACCATGGAGGCCATGTTGAAGTTCTGGCTCAGCATGGCCGTTTCGTAGTCATCTACCTGGGCGAAGAGGTTCCTGCCGATGTGGTACGGCAGCCAGCATATGATGAAGGCCAGCACCACCACCACTGAGAGCAGAGGGACGAGATAGAGAGAGGGGATCGGTTTATTTTTAAAGTTTGACAATTTTGGAAGAATAAGAGTTAGGAAGCTGACTGGCATAGCTTAACATAAAGACTGGAAACAACCCATTTATTAATGAATTAATGTTTTCTGTAAATCTGCTCGGTAACTAACAAAATAGAACAACTTTATGTTTGCATTTAAATTGTTGTGTTTGGTTGATGAATGAAATAAACTAAAACATTTATTCACAGCTGTAATTCACCAGCTCTGCCATTCACGTGCAGGGACCCCTGTTGTACAGTGGAAGACGACGGGCCGATCTGTATTAATCATGATGCATCCATCAGGGTACGAATGCTGCTCATTAGCTGAGCACACAGGGCACAGAGCTCATGCTGTCAGACTCGCTGCCATTTGTATCCACGGTGGTTGAATCCAGAAATGAACTGTCATCCGTCACCTCCATAAATCAGCTTGAATAGAAATGTACATGCCTCTTAAGTCCTGGTCGTATTCTGCTGCTCTTGCTCAATGATTATTTGTCCCGTACGACCAGACGCCATCAAACTGGTGTCCATCTGTAAATCTACAATATGCGTCATTATGCTGTAAATAACTATTTCTGCAAATTATCCAACAACTGGGTTCCTGTAGGCTGCATATTCCCCTCCTTGCATTTTTAATTTGACTTTTATCATCCTCAGTGAAATTACTTCCCCCATCAGACAAATGGATGGTGCTTTAGTCTGCAGGGTCTTCTCGATCGATACCAGTGACTCAGCGATTACCTCAGCCAGCACCGACATGTCAAGACGCTTTCATAACCTTAAATAAAGCTTTGTTCTTTGTTTTTAGATTTATGGCTTCATGCTTTGTCCCCGCTGGATGTTTTTCTGCTGTTTACTGTATGTTAGCTCGATTTACCCTGCTGCTCACCTGCATTGTAAAAAAGCGTGACCGTGTTGTTGGAGCCAATCACAGACTCAGAGGGACGTGGCAGGTTGTGCACATAGCTGTTTTTATTTCTTTTTTTGTTCACAGGTAATGAACCAAAACCTATTTGTAACTATTTCTAGTCATTTGCTTGTGCACTGGGGTGCAGGCAGTAAACTTAGAAACAAATATCTGAAAAACTGCACAAGTAACACAAAAAACTCCCTATATCTAGATACAGTTACAGGTCAAATGAAAACATGTCCTTGTTCATCCTCTAAATTAAGGCATTGAATGCACCAATTTGACATTTTAAAAAAATAACCCAGAGATAAATGAGAAGATACTTTATGGTAAATAAAGAAAATCTGGTAAACATGAGAATGTGGATGTTTTTAAAGGTCCAGTGTGTAAGATTTAGGTGAAAGGGACATTTAATGGAGAATAATCTTGATGATGTTTTCACTAGTTCGTTCATCTAAATTGTATGAATTGTAGTTTTCTTTACCCCAGAAAAGGCCCTTTATATTTAAATACTTTATATTTACATGGAGGGGACCCTCTCTACAGAGGCCGCTATGTTTTTTACATTAGTCCAGACTGGACAAACTAAACACCTTTTGAGTTTTTATGACAACTGAAGCTACCACAGGTTCTTGTTCATGTTTGGAAGGAGAGGGTGAGGTGAGGGGTGTTCAGCTGCAACATGCAACTTCAACACTAGATATCACTAAATTCTACACACTGTACCTTTAAATGCAAACTAGACGTACCTTTTCAGTGGAGCTTTTACTTGAATTTATTTCTGTGTATTACTCTGAGTCGGAATACAAGAGACGTACATGTGTCTGCAGAGATATAAAAAATGACTCACCCAGTATTTTGACAGTTTGCCTGTGTGATCTCTCCCGGGCCAAGGTGCTGGGGCCTTGCAGGTCATTTTTGCTTTTCCACAACTTGCACCCGATGGAGCCGTAGAGGAAGATGAGGCAGAGCATCGGGCAGAAGAAGTAGGTGGTGGACACCCACAGCATGATGTGCAGCTGCCCGGAGCTGATGGCGTAACTGGTGTGTTTGCACTGGCCTGTGTTGTAGTCCGGGTGCGTGTCATTGTCGTACTCCACGCTGATCAGGAAGAGCGTGGGAGCTGCAGAGACCAGGGCGAAACCCCACAGGGCGAGGATGATGTACTGCACCCTGCGCCTGGTCACCACCACCTTGCTCTTGAGGGGGAAGCTGATGGCCAGGTAGCGCTCGATGCTCAGGGCCGTGATGTGGAGGATGGTGGCCGAGGTGCAGCCTTCAAAGATGTAGTGGTAGAGGCGGCACACGGCCTCGCCGAACAGCCAGGGAACGTACTTCCACAGGCGGTAGAGGTCAAAGGGCAGGCAGAGGAAGATGATGAGGTCGGACACTGCCATGCTGGACAGGTAGAGGTTGGTGGTGGTCTTCATGTCCTTGAAGTGCTGGATGATGAGGATGGTCATAGTGTTGCCGGTCACCCCGACGATGAAGATGAGGATGCAGATGACGGTGACGGGGATGAGGGTGGAGGTGGGGAACAGGGAGCCCTCGTAGTGGTGGTCGTCTGCGCTGTAGTGGTCCATGACCTCTGCTGCAGCGGCATGAGGGTCCACCTGGGATCTGGTCCAGGGCATGACGACCTCCACTGGTGCAGTAACGTATGAAATGAAGACTCGACCGGCAGCTGAGGGGAAAAAAAGAGACGTTAAAGGATCAAACTTTTATCTCCTAATATATAAAATATTTAATTTGAGTTAGTTCAGACTTGTGGGTCCATTTCAGCAAGAGAATAAGATAATAATTGAAAAATTACAAAAAAAAACCATAAACATATGGAATGCAAGCATCACACATTATATTGTAAATGCACAAAATTATAATAAGACCATCCCCACCTTATAGCTGTTACTTAAACCCTATCGTCTTCCTAGAAAGCCCTTGAATGTACAGACTGGAGAGAACTGGTGACCATAATACTCCTTGTCAGACCCATTGGCTACAAAGAGGTATATTTAAATTTTGAAGTGTATTTACTTAAACTTTGTATTATTGGTGAATTTTAAACATCCATTGGTTCAGTCATGAACACCTATTAGCAGTATGGTAAATAATAAAGACAGTATTTGTATATAATCGACCCCTCTAAGCACTTTACAGCATCCTCACTCACACACTGACAGAACAGGTTTCAGTGACTTTTCTGACCCTCTTGCAGATTAGAGGAGCCTGGGATCGAACCACCGACCCTCTGAGCCACAACTGCACAACTGTATCATTTTGACTGCTCTTTCATTATCTGTGTTTTTTTGTGTTTATATACAATAAATGACAGAAACTTCAGGTGCCTCATCAGCACGTTAATCTACTATTTGCACTTTCTGCTTGGATGTAAAACTGCATTTTGTTGGACTTGTGCAATGATAATAAAGTCGAATCTAATCTAATTTAATATTTGCAAACTTTATTTTCACACGGTGCAGAAGAATATAATAAAAACTGTGAAACCAACATGTAAACATGCAAATTCACTTTCATATGGATCTGTTAATGGAAAACTTTAAACTCTAAAAGCGGAAATAAAATCCAAGCGTAAAAAAGAGATATTTGCAGAAGACGTTACCTTTTTGCAAATGAGCTGGATTTTCAATTTTCCAACTTCCTCTTGGTCAGAGAATGTGTCGATGGAGCAGCAGCAGCAGCAGCAGGAGGATCACATGAAGTGGCAGAGCTGGTTCATGTTGAGCTGTGGTGAGAGACAAGGGAGAAAAGAGCACCTCCTCCTCCTCCTCAGCACCCTGAGGAGTCAGGGTGTGTGTGTGTGTGTAATCTGCATAATCAAATGATGACAGTATGGATGGATGACATTAAAAGGTGTAAGGAGGGAATGAAAACAGAGGGACCATCAACACCAACGCTGCTGCTGCTGCTGCTGCTGCTGCTCCGACACAGATCATACAAAGCTGATCACACATAATAAAATATACATATGATTACAACAAGACTGCTTGATATACAATATGTCTACTCAGATACTCTACCGTTACTGACAATGATTCCTCAATTCATTTACCTTCCATCACGCTTCACACTGTTTACTCTAACCAATGCTGTAATTACTCTTATGTCTCTGATGCTCTCCATTACACGTGGCATCTATTGCACTTCTGTCTGTCCTGGGAGAGGGATCCCTCACATGTGGCTCTTTGGTTTTTTGGTAGTTTTTCCTTACTCTATTTGAGGGTTAAGAGCAGAGGATGTCCCACCTTGTTAAAGCCCTATGAGACAAATTGTGATTTGTGTATATGGGCTATACAAATAAAATTTGATTGATTGTTATAATATACGAGTTAATTAATGAACTCATCCATCAGGGAAACACCAGCTTGTTTGTGGAGTCACTTCTGTGTTTGCTCGATCGTCCAGCAGCCTCATCTGTCTCCGTCACTCCACACTCACCCACTTCCTCCTCCTCCTCCCTCCTCCTCACCTGTCACGCTTCTTATAACAAACTCTTCATCAACAATGGCGGCTGGGGAGACGGTCAGAGCGAGGTCGAGGCCTGAAAAGGTCAAATTTAACTCAATCTGTGGAATCTGGCAAATCTGCGATTTTTGGATTCTTGTGTCAGTTTAAGGTTTTAAATCTGGTTTTCAATATTAAGCTATAACATTTAATCCAATGTTTAAGGGTTTTTGTTCACTTTCATTCATGGAATATGTGTAAGTATTACTGCATTGCTAAAACCAGCTACTTTAAGTTAAGATAAAATAAGCTAAGCTGAACTAAGTAGAGGTAAACTAAGCCAATCTAAACCAAACTAATCTAAACCAAACCAAGATAAAAAAAACTACTACTACTAATTCAGTTAAAATAAGCTGAGCTAAACTAAATTAAGATAAGCTAAACTAAATTAAGATAAGCTAAAATAAAATAAGTTAAGCTAAAATAAAATAAGTTAAGCCAAGCGTAACAAAACTAAACCTTAAAGCTAAACTAAAACTAAGATAAGGTAAACTGAGTTAAACTTAGCTTAGATAAGCTAAACTCAGTAAGTTAAACTAAACTCAGTAAATTAAACTAAACTTAACTAGTGTGACTTAGTGTGAGCCAGAGCAAAAAGTTCTTGACTTTAAATCAGTCTTTACATCTTGCAGTAGATATAAATAAAAAGTGGAAACATGTTGCTCTCTGACTAAAGCAACCTGAGTAGAGGTTTTTATTTCTTCACTTCCTGATCGGATCCTGATCGACAGGTTTTCAGGTTGGGTCCAGTCCAACAATACTCCCGAGGCCTGGTCGACCTGCTGAACGACTGTTGTGCTCTGTTGGTTCAGAGCCACCACCTCCATTAGATCTGAATGAACCTTTGCAACAGGAGTCACGCTGACATCCAGGGAGAATCTGTGTGTTTACACTGAGCCGACCGGCGGCCGGATGCCGGCTCGGACCAGAAGGGGCCACAGGATCGTCTCCCTCTGTTTACTCCTGTCAGAGACCAGAGAGCTTGTTTGTTCTTCTCTTTGTGTTTGAGACCAGCAGGTCCACTTTCCCCCTCGTCCATCATGACTCTTACACCACTCAGGTGTGTTTGTAGCTCTCAGGGGCTTTTGTTCGACAGCGTCACTTACACTGATTTCCTGGAGACTAACTCTAACTTAACAACCTAAACCAAACCCTCACCTAAACCTTAGCTAAACCTAAACCCAACCCAACCCAACCTTAACCCAGCCCATAACCTAACCCAAATCTAAACCTTGCCTAACCCCTAACCTAAACCACCCCCTCATCCTAAACCCTTTAACTTAACCCAACCTTACAATATGTCTTCACCTGAAAATGTAAGGTTACAGTATGGGGACTTGTATTTTGTCCCCAGAATGTGACTGTGTAAACAGAATTAGGTCTCTGACACTGATTTAAAGCAGACTATTGAACTGTTGTTTGTCTTTGTACAGTTTCAACAACACATTTACTGTGCCAGTACAACCATGCTATGACCAGAGACACACAAATACCCAAACTTCACACACACGATTAAGAATTATAAATCTTTTATTGTGCATGGATCCTTTGTAGATATCATGGCTATACAGATACACTTTAGATACATACCTATGATTATACATTTTTCCCATAACGAACATTTTAAAGTGATATGTCTGGTAGTATGTATAGTATAACAAATTTTTCATTTTGGAATGTACGGTGTATGAGGTAACTGCAAACATTAAATTACATAAAAATGGTCTCTATTTTTGTGCATATTTTACTCATTTTTGTAGCATTTTGTTGATCTCCCCAGCCAGAGGTGGTGAGCCCCGGGTGAAGAGGTGTTAAAATGGCACACGTTGCAATCGCTATCAAAAATAGGAATTTGACTTCTTTAAATGACAAAGAGAAGACATTTGCAGAATGTCTCAAAGACCAAATCATGTAATTATCCAGTACGTTTTGCAAGGTACCTGTATTTCATTTTTTTTTTTAATGGTTCTCAATGGCAGTAATCTGCCACCGAAACCAAACGAGACTAGACCCTACAACCAGATTATTACGACCAGATTACCAGTGAGAACTCCGCGTTAGCAATCTGTTACGAATACTTAAACACACAGAGAAAAAAAGGCAAATTTTTGATTCACAGGAAGTACATGATATTTTGTATCTGCCATTTGCGTTCCATGATTCATGAGTACTCAGGATTTATTATTTTCTCTGGAGAGTATTAACTTATATTACTTCAATATTATAAAAAAATATACTTCACAAAATGTATGACCTGACAAAAAACAAACAAAATCAAAATAAATCACAAGTATAACATATAACTACTTTAAATATCTCTCACAATTACGTGGGTTTACTAACATGAAATAAATGATGCAAAAATAAAAGGAAATAAAACACAGCTTAGCGTTTCTAACACTAAAAGAAAACATTGAAAACTTAAGAGAAATTAAGAAAATTCTCCCGAGATTTTTTTCCTCTCCAATTAAGGCCTCTGAAACAACTGGTACAGACTTCTTTCAATTGTTTTTTTTAGATTTTTTTTTTGTTTAAACTGTAATTGATTTTTTTGGGCTGAGACAGATCAGCTGTTTCAGTGACATAATAATGTGTTAATACAACTTCTAAAACACCCAAAACACAAGTAGGGCTCGCACAATCTCAAAGTGTGTTCTATAAAATGCATCACAAGACCAAGACGCTGGCAGTCGAGGTTTTCTTCCACTAAGGTGCAAAATCAATTACTTGGGGGGAGAAAACAAAAAAACGAAAAGAAAAGAAAACATACAGTTAAGCATACATTTTTTTGTGCTGGACAACAATATTTCAGAGTAAAGCAGCTGCATGATTGTAAAAACAAGCTACAGTAGAACTATATGATAGTAAAAATAATTAGAATTCACTGTTAGTTTGGTTTTTGTTTGTTTTCTAACTTTATACCGAGCATTTATTTTTCCTCAAACTTACAGGTCCTTGCGTCTTCACTGTACAAAAATATACTAACATTTCTCCAGTCATTTTTGCATCCTTAAACATTCTCAACATCTAAAAGGATGGAAAGTGCTAAATGAACGTGAGCGAGATTTTACGTTTGCGGTTCTTCTCTCACTAGATCCCCTTAAACTCCAGCAGGGGCTCGAGTCCCTTCATCTGGCCCTGGAGCCCTCCCAGCCGTGTACCTCGGTGGCACGAACTACATACAATACACACATCTGGACACACACACCTTCACTGTGCAAACACTGGCCCACCAGGTCCCAGGATCAAATAGCAGATAGGCTAATGACACACCTACGTACTGTCTTAGGAGCACACCTATCAAAAAAACAGTTTCATACTGGACACATAAATGGAAATATAAATAATGACTATATATACTGTAATCAACAAGTACATGAGTCGAAGCCCACCCTTCCCCCCTTGACCCTCTCCCCAAAATAAATCATATCCCTGCTCTTTCAGAGTTCCTTACGCACAGGAAGCTTTTCGTAATTCAACAGAAATCTGAACTGAACAACAGATATCACACAAAGTCGGGGGCAGGGCTGACAAAGGCAGGAGTGTCAGGACGATATCGCAGGTGCCAAATAAGGTGTTACATCCTTGATTCATATCCGCTGTTCAGCTGTCACTCACTGGCCCTTCCTCTCCTCACACACCACTGTGAGTAATGTGATTACTCTGTCGACGACGGAAAACAAATAGGTATAAAATTAAGGATACAAAACAATAGAGACGGGGGAAAGAATAAAGCTATAACCCTGCAGCTGGGTGGCGCAAAACTGCTCATTTAATGACAAAGTACTGGATGACAAAAGCGATGAGGATGGCGATGACGGCGAAAACCATGAGGAGGAGGAAAGCGCACTGCTCGTCCGTCAGGCTCCGTCTGGCTCGGTTGGACTCGGTGCCGGCTCTGGATCCCGAACCGGACGTTCCGCCGCCCACCGCCACGTCGTTCCGCTGAGGGGAGAGGGTCACTGTGGGGCTGTAAGGACCGTTCAGCTCAGGGGCGTCCTGGCACTGCCTGATAGCACAGACCCGGAAACGGTAATCGCTGCTGGGCTGCATGTTCTGCACATGGAAGGATGTGGCGGAGCCTTTGTATGCCTGAGGAGAGGAGATGAAGAGGAGATGAGAAGGTTGTTTTGTGTTTCTTTAGGGGAAAGCTGAATTATTTGTCTTTTTCATTATTCCTTTATTTCCCCAATCACATGGATTTTGGGGG